CTGGTAGCACCAAAAACTAAATACTTCTCAGCCATTCATAGAAGAGACAATTTTCCACATTCGCCAAACTTTAAGAAGCCGTTTGCTTTCAATGGCTGCCAACATGTAATTTACATGCGGGCGCAAGATAGCAAAATAGTTACTGTGCAGGAAGGTTCAAAAGGGCGCGCACCTGTCAAACTTCCTGTGGGGTGCATATGTACATGCACATACATGTGTTTACGACTCGCACATAGTTAGAATGTTTATTTAAAAAATCTGAATTATCCAGTCTCCATTTGGAATTATAGAAATACTATTTTGTGCCATAATCCATACAACTACAAACATATATTTATTGTGCATTTTTAATAACCCGCACCCAGTGTACATCCGGATATTAGTTCATACAAATGCATTAACAACAGGCCTGCCAACTTTGCTCAAACCGTGCCATTTTTAAACCTATTCTTGGTCCAAATGGCACAAAATTTTTCGATGTGGCACAAGTAGCCAAAATTGCACTTCTCAAATATAGTAAAATTTTGATACATTTTTCGACATCCTTCGCGTGCACTACTTTTTTATTACCTACAATTTTTTAGTTTCTAAAATTTATACAGCTCTATAGCTTATTTTGGCATTGTAATTTTTTTCAACAAATGTGGTTTTTATTTTATTGCTAAATGTAAAGGGAATGAATAACCTTGTTTCGGCTAAAAAAATGGCACCTTAATTTTTCTATTACTTTACTTTCTTCCTCAAATTGGCAACTCATACCGAACTATAGTTGGTAACCCTGAAATACATACATATGCCGTTGTAAATACTCATACTCGCACGCTTCTTTTTGCGTTAAAACTTTACCACTGCTGAGTTCGAACGCACTAGTCGTAGTTCCCCACCCCCGCTACGCAACTTCAAGTAACAGTGGCTGAGCAGAAGTTTTGTGGGGTAAATGGCACGCAGGCGATTTGCTTGGAGTTGAGGCTGCTGACATGTTTATGCAACTTCCTCGTTTCGAAGCTAAGCTACTGCGGCGCTTTGCATACGAGAAACCAACAGCAAAGTAACTAGAGCACGTATAAGGTTCTTAAATTTATTTTGTGAAAGCGCTTGGTAAACTTTTCGNGTTTCGAAGCTAAGCTACTGAGGCGCTTTGCATACGAGGAACCAACAGCAAAGTAACTAGAGCACGTATAAGGTTCTTAAATTTATTTTGTGAAAGCGCTTGGTAAACTTTTCGGCAAGAATTTCGACACGGTGATATTGGAGCTAATTTTTGTGAGTATTTTACGAAAGAAAAATTCAAAGGCAATTCGCTACTGTAATATTTTTTTGCTTTTTATGTAAAAAGTACTTAGTAAGTGCATAAAGAAAACTTATTAACTCGATTTTAAAACCCGCGCATTACTTTGTTATTTTACAAAGGATGATATTTTTTTTCATTACATGGTGGTCTTATTGAAACATAATTAAATTCGCAAAATTTTCAAATTTGTTTGAAATTGTAAATTTTTGGTTTATATGGCATTAAATTACATTTAAAGCATGCCCACTTTGCTCTTATGCTGCATATTGTCCATGCTTTCAGAAAAAATCTTCACATTTTCGTTTATTCATAATTTTCCACTTAGCAGATCAAAAGTGAAAACATTTTATGCTCGCTATTTCTCATCCAAATAAGTGTGCTTGTTAACCCTTTCTGGACTCTCACGTGCCTTACTGTCGACCTGCCGAGTTATCTGTTTTTTTTTGTGTGGCCATTACGGCAACGTCAGGCATCCAGCTGGCAGGCGAGTATGCAAAGCAGCCTAACAAGCAAATTTCAAGGAGAATGCAAGGAGCAAGCAACCAAGCAGCCAGCAGACAAATAACCGAAGGACGATATGAATTGCGGTTATCGGTATACATATATAATACATATTTCCATTCATACACATGCAAAAATTAGGGTGGTCCTTAAATGTAGCAAGCAAATTTTTATATCAGATTTTATTTATATCGGAATTTATTTTAATATTTTGAGTGTCAATGGAGGAATCTGTACCTTGGCCCCTGTGCGATACGCCTTAACCGTCTCCAATCGGGACCAAAATTTAAATGTGATATCTGTGACAGTGGTATCACCGATTGAGGAGGTGAGACTGAAAAAAATCTTTCATTTGATTTTAAGGACCACCCTAATATATTTATATACATTAGATCGTATCATCCAACAGGCCCATAAAAAAAGTTGCCGGAAAATTTCGAGTCTTAAATATATTTGGAAGGAAGGTTCGAAAAAAAATTGTTTGGCCGAGAGTGTTTTTATGACCCACTCTAATGTATAATACATTAGGGTGGTTCGAAAATGCATGTGAAAAAGTAAAGTTCGATTTTTTATGCGCTCACCTTATAGGGTTGTTTTATACGGAAAGAAATTTTTTATTTTGAAATCAAAAAGTATTTCGAGGTCGCTCAAAAAGCTCAAAGTTGCTATGGAATTCTCTAAAATCAATATTTTTCGATCGAAAAATTCAGTTTCTCTTTAGGAGACTCCCAATAATAATACCCAATTATTTATTTAACCATTTATTCATAGTAACTGTATTTTATAGGCCCGACAAATCCCCCAAAAAAATCCAGAGAATGCAATGGGGGATATACAAAAAAATTGTTTGCGGTAAAAAATTGTTAAATAAACAATTATGTATTATTATTGGAAGTCTCCTGAGAAGATCCAGAGTTTTCAGATCGAAAAATATTGATTTTCAAGGATTCTATACCTTTTCTATGAAAAGCGGTTTTTTCCCCATACAAAATACATGGAAAACTTTGAGCGCTTTGATCGACCTTTAAATATTTTTTGATTTTAAAGTAAAAAAATACGGGTATTCTTTTTTCGATATAGAATACTCCTAGGGGGTGAGAGCATTAAAATTCCGACTTTACTTATTTTGGACCACCCTAACGCACATTGTATATGGCCAACAATAGCTGCCAGTGAATATCTCGGTGCTCATCTGCTGCTTACGGCAAGCATTTGTCTAGTTTATACTGATATAAATGTGTGAGGGTATAAATATTCATATGTAGTAAATATACATATGTATGTATGTGCATTGCTTTTGTGTACGTGTTCGTGCACATTATCTATTTCCTTAAATGTTAATGTGACATAACGCAGTCATAAATGCAACTTGTGCCACTTTTGTAGACACAAGAAGCCACAACGATAGCACTTCAAGTGAAGCAGTGCACGACGGGCATGCGGTTGAGGGGTTGTTGTGTAAACAGTGTGAATGGCGTATGTATAAATGTATGTTTGTATTTATATGATGACTACCCTACAAGACATTGCTGAGCACTTTAGGCAAAAACTCTCACACATTTACACTTTTGTTTTTGTAGTACGGCATAAATGAGTAGTTTGACTATTAGTACTGAGGACTTTCTGATGACAACATTGAGGGGAAAGTACTCAAATTTTTCCCATGGCCTGAACGAAAATGAGAACTTTGATAAGCACTTTTGTGATTAGGAGTAATGATAATATGAGTACTCATATGATACTCAGCTGTCTTGTAGGGTATTGCTAATGCTCTGTAGTTTACATACACAAACCTCTTTCGGCGTGCCTCATTCACGACCTTGACTTGCACACACTTACATAACTGCTCTCTGTTAACTGCGTTTGTTTTTGTTGAGCTAAAGCAGTTACGTTTTTTTTTGTTATATACGTACAATATTTACATGTAACGGCATAACTTTAATGTCGTATGAATAAATTTAAATGTGCGTTGTTTTATGATTTTATAAAAAGTCGCAAGAATTTAGAAAGGAAGTCATGAAAAATGTCAGGGTCTTATTCATATGTAAATACAAATTACTGAGATATTTATTTCAAACAAATAATTCTAAAAAGATTTTTATGAATGAGAAATGCTGGATTTACTGAAAATTATTCACTTTCAGGTTGTTCTGATACTTTTGACCCCAAGTCCGCGTCCATAAAAACAGCAGATTTTTCTTCTTTCGCATATTTTGATCTCAATTGCCAGTTTGGGTGGCCTGTAAAGGAATAAATGTGAACGAAAAGACTGATGTGCCAGCGAAAACCGATGTGAAATGAACCGCGTCCAACTTTAACTGCATTTTTCTCGCCACTAGAAGATATTTAATTATTAAGGCTTGCAAAAGCGTGGACCACGTCGAATATTAAAAAAAAAAATGAAACGACAACCGCACTGAAGCGCCTAATTAAGATTTCGCATATACATTGAGTATAAATTTAAAATGGCCAAAGTAACTTTATATACTCTTTCAGCCATTTTTAATTACGACCATTGCTAGGCATTTGAATCCATACGCGTACACTTTGAAATACGCATTCACACACACACAATCATAAAAGTAGAAACTGTACCAGTATTATCGGCTCTATTGTTGGGCCACTGTAATTGTCACTGTAACTGAAACTTCTCGTGACACGCGTATTTCACAACATCTGCGACACATTTTTCAACGTCAATTGTAAGCGCATCGTAAATACAACAGCCCATATACTGCACACAGCAATACGATAGTAGGATATTTTGCTTTCAATATGTGTACATACATACAGTGGCGGTCAAAAATGGATGAATGGTGTTTCGTATTTAATATTTACAATGTTTTTCTAGCTAATGTTTTTTTCATATTTTTTTTATAAAAATATTGTTCACGTTTTAACAAAAACCATATAAATCACAATTTCAAACTTTATACAGAATTTAGAAAAAAATCCAAAACTTTATATCTAAATTTCGAGCTTTTTAACCAGAATTTTTTTTAATTTTTTGGGTATGCAGTTAACAGGATTATGGAATTTTAGTAAAATAAGTTCAAGTTTTGAGCGGCTAAAGAATCGCATTGATTTTTAATAATTTTTTTTTTTGCTGAAGGCTTTTTCGTTTTGTTTTCATATAAAAAGCAAAATTTAAGAAAACTGGCGTTGACTGTTTTATTTTTTTCGCATACTCTTCCACAAAAAATTCATGTTTTTATGAAAAAAAGTTCAAAGCGTCGTCAACAAAAAAACAAAATATTAAAAATCAATGCGGGTTTTTAGCCGCTTAAAACTTGCACTAATTTTACTAAAATTTTATAATCCTGTTGACTGCATACCCAAAAAATTAAAAAAATTTATTGATTTATTCTAAATTCTGTATAAAATTTGAAAGTGTGATTTACATGGTTTTTGTTAAAGCATAAACCATATTTATATAAAAAAATATCAAACAAATTATAGCTCGAAAAAACATTGTAAATATTAAATACGAAACACCTACCATTCATTTACTTTTGACCGCCACTGTACATGCGTCGCCTTTGTCTTCTGCATTGCAATTTTCGCTGGTTGTAAATAAATAGACGGTAATATCGTTGCATGTATTCGAATTTTAATTTATGACCATACGGCTCAACGTGACCCAACGAATTTTTCATCTTTTCAGTGACAGGCTACATAAATGTTCTAGTAATCTTTTGTTTGTAGTAAACTTTTGTCTGTTGGCGTGATTAATTTCAGTTCAATGCATATCAAAGTGGTTGTGCTGCATAGTACTATTCACACGTATGTGTGTGTGTATGCATTTTTGCAATTATTGTTCAAGCTATATATGGTCAAATAGATATTTCGAAATTCCTTTGTGAAGGCTCATGAATTGCGAATTTTAATGCTGCGTGTGTGTGTGTAAGAATATCGCGATAGCGGAAGCCATAGCAAATGGCGGTTTCTTTGTGCTTTGATGGCTGGATGCTATGTTGTTACGTATACGCAGTGACGGTCCATTGAAATTTTTAACCACAAGCATAAATACAAGTGAACTACTTTGGATTTTTTTCTTTTAATTTTAGATGCATTTTTGCGCAAATTTACACTTTTGATTTAATTATCATATTTGGATTTATAAAATAAGTGACTAAGGAGATTGACAGGCATGGTTTCATCAGCCTATATTTTGGATGGAAGTTAGTGCATACGCCTCACCCGTTCCTTGACGCCATGTTTGAAAAGGCATATTTTTCAGTGTCCCATTTTGTTCTTAAAGAATTGGAAAAAGTTTACTGTTTGCTGGTCATTAATTTGGACAAGGTCTGCTTAGCATATCAGCACGGTCATTACCTTCTTTTCTTTTCTGTTCCGGCAATCAGCAAATAGTGCCTCGTTTACTACTAGTTTTTTTCTTTTTACCTCACTCTTGTGTATTTTTATTAAATTCAGCTATTAAATTCTTGTCCATTTTTTCATTTTTATTTTAGTATAACCTTAAATAAATTCACAAAAAAGTTCAAGTACAACACTATCATAATTTACTTAAATTTTTGCTTTTTTGAGTTGCGCTTGTAACACATTTTGTTGACTTCCAGTTGACTTTGATTTGTTGGGTTTTGGCGTGACCAGACCGAAAAATTCGTACGTGGACCAGCTGACTGGTGCGACGCGTTAAGAAATACAATTACTTGTCCTACACAATGTGGAAATGCTTGTTTGTATACAGAAATAAGTAGTGTGTGATTGCTTTAAGATTTATTTCTTTTATCATCATTTAAGTTTATGCTCAAGTAAATTGAGAAAAAATCTATGACGTTTTATTTTTGTATTAAAGAAGGAAGTAAAAAACGTAGTTAAGGGCATGATGAAAAAATTTAAAAGTAAAACCACTGAGAGACATCCTGCACATTTTCGAAGTTTGCTAACATAAAAGAGATTATTTTAAATTTTCCATCTCACACATACATACAGTCTTAAATAAAAGCGAAATTTTTTGTTTTATTTTATTTGGCATTTGACTTACTCTGATAATTTTAATTTTATAAAGAAGACAAACTTCAAAAACGAAATGATGGCCGACGGATTCAGCGAACGGTTTTACCTTTAAATACTTGCATCATTTTTAAAAGTGTACAAATTAAAAAAAAAAAAACACAAAAAAAAATAATAATAAGAAGGCCATTATTTTTATTTTGTTAGTTGGCAGATTATATTGAATTTAGTGTTTCGTCAGCGAAAAATCAACGCAATTTTTACCCCTATGAAATTTTCACTTCATTGGACTAAAATTGAATGGACTATAAAACTATAGGCCTAAAAATATTATACTATAAATATTCAGCTTTGATTTATTTTGGTTTTGGTAAAGGCTTGAATAACATTTATATAGAAAAATAACAACAAACGTAACTTGAAACACATTGTGAATGTCTAAGTTTGTACACAAAAAGATTAACATGTGAACAATTGTTTGAGTTGCCGCATGTAAATATTTGTTGATATAAGTATCAATCATGTTTAGATAATAAACAACAAGGTATTTATTTACTAGGTACATACATATGAATGTTTAAGTTTGTTTAACGCCGCATTGCTGCTTAAGAAAGACAGAACATATGAACTTTATCATAATAAACGAAACTGAAACTATGAATGATTTATATTTATGTAAGTGATTTTTAAGTTATTGAAAGTGTGAAGTGAAAATATGCGCACATACAAGTATACTTTATATAAAATCAATTTCAAATAAACAATATGAATTGAAATGATTTTTGTGGTGGCATTTAATTCAAAATGAATCAGTCAAACCATAAAGTAAGCCAAGGTAAAAAAATAGAAAAATCTGCATGCCATCATCTGAGTACTTATTTAAAAAAAAAAAAGAGTGTTGCCTAGCACACTTCAAAGGGGCGTGGAAAAAAAACTACACTCACAACCAATGTTATATTTAATTGAAATTCTTGGTTAAGTTTTTAATTAATTTTCGCGCATTGTTTGTGGGTACAAGCATGTGTGGGTGTGACATGCTGTACACTAGGGTGACCCAAAAACAAAAATAATGTCGGAATTTTAATGCTCCTCCCGGCTAGGATTGTTCTATACCGAAAAAAATGTATCACTTTATTAATTTGGAATCAAAAATTATTTAGAGGTCGCTTAAAGCGCTGAAAGTTTTCCATGTATTTTCTATGGGGGAAAACAAATTTTCGTAGAAAAGGCATAAAATTCTTGTAAACCAATACTTTTCGTAAAACTATGGTTCTCGTCAGGAGGCTTCAAACATTAATATCCAATTATTTATTTAAACATTTTTTAATACTTAAGATTTTTATTGATCCCCCACTGCGTTTTGTGGAGTCTTTGGCGGGCCAATAAAATATAGTTACTATGAAAAAGTAGCTCAATAAACAAGTAGGTAGTATTACTGAGAATCTCGAAAAATGTTGATTTTCAAGAATTCCATATAAAATACATGGACAACTTTGAGCGACCTCTAAATGTTTTTCGATTAAAAAAAAATAAAATAAATAGCGGTATCTATATTATAGAACCATCTTAGGGGGCGACAGCATTAAACTTCCGACTTCACTTTTTCACATGCAACCTTGGACCACCCTAGTATACACACATATTAAATGCGGCCACGGCCAAGCATAGCCGCAACCACAAATGAAAACTGCATGTGTGTTTGAATAGTTTGCATTTGTATACAAATGTGATTGCGAATACATATTTATTTATGTATGTATGTTCAAATGCCTCGAATGAAAAGAATAACCTTTTATGAATGTAGCAAAAAATGTGGATAATTGTAGGATTAAAATATTTCAATTAAAGTATTTCCAATGAATTTTTTTTATTCAACAGAATAAGGGAGGCTAACTGTGTGGTACGCGTGGATGGCGAGCTTTATGTTTGTTGAGCTTTAATTGGCCCAATTGCTTGAAAAACAGCGCGAGAGTCAACAAGTAAAAAGCAAAAAAAACATTTTTAAATATCCCGTGTGAGTGATTCGATGACGCATAACTGAGCACCACAAGTCTTATAAGTAGGGTCCAGTGGTGCTTTCACTTAGCATTGCATTTGGCATAAGTTTGCCCCTTCTAAGCCCGATGTGGATTATCAGCAAGCAGCACCAAAAAATTAGGCGAAGGAAGCAAAACAAACATAGAAGTGTTGAAAACTTTCAAACTAAATAAATGAGATTTATTTTTAATATAAATAAAGCACATTTATCTACAAAAGTAAGTAGTACACTGTCTATCGCAGCACAAAAAATATGTACATATATCTCATCCAAAGACTTATCAACACTTCAGCATGCGTTCAAGTGCAATTTTTCAAAACTCAGCTTAAGTTTGTCGCCATATTTATCAGCTTACACACTCACGTTCACGATCATACTCACCACTGTCACTCAAAACATACTCATTGTTAAATTTGTACATACATACACACATACATTCATATGTAGCTTCATAAGCACTTCGCAGTAAAAAATGTTGCGTTGGCAAGTTTTTAATTTTCTTTTAGATTTTTTTTTTTGATTCTCTTCGGCAGCAGCGTTTGCTGCACTTCTCTAGTCAACAACTGTTTGCGACTCCTCAGAGCAGCGCGGCAGCTTCTATGTATGTCTGCCACGGCTTAGCAGCTTGAGCGTGTCAAATGCTACTTGCATGGTCGGAGCAGTGCTCGCTGTGCTGCATACGAGACGGCGCCGAACGAATGGTTGCGTCGGTGATAGTGTTGGCGGGGGTAAATCTGGTTTTATCTTCAACTGCCTGGCAAAGCATTGTCAATGACACAAGCGACTTTGCTTAAGTGGATGGAGAATAATGAAAGTCAGTTTTTGTTTGGCTTTTGATGTGAGAAATTAATTTTAATTTCAGATTTTCTTGCACAGTTTTCAAATAGCGTTAGGAAAGTAGTTGAGAATTGATGTAGCAATGGCTGTGCGAAAAATTGGTGGAAAAGCAGAAAAATGATAACTGATTAAAAATTGGGAAACTAGGTACAAATAATGAACTAAGTGGGATGCCTAGGACTCGATGTTGAAGACCTCTCTCAGTTACAAACCACTTTGTTGTCGTTATGAGTTGGGTCTAAGCTAGTTTTTCCACTTGAAAATTGAAAAAATACCGAGTCAGAGATAGGAAAATGAATAGAGATAAAAAAAGAAAAAAAAAAACTGAAGATTAAGATATCGCACACCCTCTACAAAAGGGGCACAGCCCA